TAGCAGGCATCTTCAATCGGCTAACATCGGTTGACGAGATTGAGCCAGCTTTGAAAGCCTTCGATGAGATTCGACGGCCGCGAAGTCAAAAAGTTGTGGACATTACGAGAGAGTTTGGCAGGTTGTACAGCCAAGACGGAGACGAGATTGATTTGGAACACATGCGGGCTCGGATGAAGGAAGGTGGCATGTTCACAAATGGGGTAGACATGGACGCTCAAGTCAAAGACGCAGTTGAGGCCTTCGAGAGGTACAGAATGGAGTTATAAATTATAAAAACCTAAAAGTTCGGCTTGGAATGCCATATTTATGTCGTTACAATTCTCCCATAATCCAAAGGCTTGTGGGATTCTAGGCGCCTCTAGCGCCTGTTTGTCCTTTTCTGTCGGTAAATGTTGGTTAATCATCAAGTGCTGTCTGCGCTTCCAGTATGCATAAGATAAAATCGGGGAACCTTCCCCTCGAGGTGGTGGTTGCTCAACAGGATATCTGTCGAAGTAATTACGGACACTATGGCAAAAATGTGAGAATGATAACTAGACTGAGGAAAACATAGCTTACGCAGCGCACGAACTAGTCGGGGATGAGATTGTCAGTAATTATTCGCTAGAGCACCCGCGGAGAGACCAGATACTTACACCGCTACCCAGGCATGAACTCAGAACAGGCGCAGTGCCGGCGCCGTTGGACGGGTTGACGCATACTTTCTCCGACCCAAAGTCCCCGTGTTGACTTCCAGGCTCTTCGCACTTTACGCAAACATCAGTCAGACAATCTTTTGGTTGAAGGAATTATCGTACACAGTAGGTGTTGGTCTAGGATAGATTAGCTGAATACGATCCTGATCAATCTTACGAGTAGACTTACGTAGTCAGACGGGCATGAGGTTCCAGCGGGCTTGCCCCATCCGGCATTGCACCAAGCAGCATTGGAAGAGGCGGCAAAAGCCAAAAGAACAGCCAAGTACTTCATGTTGATAAGACGACGACGGCAAGTCAAGTCTATGTCGGGGGATCTCAGGTTGCTGATAGCGGGAATATGGTGAATTTGTTGGGCCAAAGGAGTTCGAACAGGGCAGGAACATTCAGCTGTATGGAGTATTTGTAGGCTGAAGAATCGTCGGAGAATTCCAGGTGATGCATCGATTGTTAAACTCAATTAGATTGAAGTGGGGGGCTCGCGATGACAGCGACGCACTGTTGGTCCTTGCGGTTCGTCACCTTGTCATCGATAAAGCCTGGAACATCGAGGTGAACGAGAACCGCGTATTCGGGCTCCTTGTCAATCATCGATATCACGCAACAAGTCGGTGCTGACCGCTATGCTTGGGCCAGTTTGTCACATGGCTGAAAGTTTGACATATTAAATCTAAAGTGATCTTCAAACATTCCCTGCCTTATCCCTCCATCTTTTGCTGTCTCGTACTTGCGCCAAGATTTCACGTTCCTTAATGGGCGTTCTAATCTCACCTGTGGACCTTGCGAGTCACGACTCGTAACTGCCGGACTTTGTCAATGCTCCTTATGCCGGCTTTCCGCCCTTGCCATTAGGGACTGTCTTGAAACCCCGAGAGGCCGCCGCTACATGATAAACCCGAAAATAGCCCCTGCTTGTGTATCGGTCGAACCATTCGGCGCGAAGTAACCACGCCCATTCAAAATAGTGACCTGGCGAGGGCTCCGGTCTATGAATATATTGTCCTGAAAGCAAACACAAGACAAGGCAGAAGAGGCCTAGTCGATCAGGTCACTATTTTGGCTACATAGGTACCTATGGGGTAATCATTGAACCCGCCTCGCAAGCACAGGGAGTACGAATACCGGACTCTTGGCGGGCCCTGGTCCGAGCGAAGCCTCTGACCGCAGCAGTAAATTTGGCCAGGGCTCCCTTTATGTTTTAATTTATACCAGGCGTTGTTGGGGACTTGCAGTTATCATTCCCGCTCTGATGTACGGTTGTCATCTCGGCCAAACATTTGTTCTGCGCGGTGACGTTCTTTTACACCCAGCAAGTTTCTGGCTCTACTGGTGCTTCAAACAGTGCAATCTATCTACTGCATCAAATTATATCTCGACTGCCATGCGTTCTTCCGAACAACCACCGCAGGCGAAGGTATTGTCGGTGAGGTTATTCATAGATGATGGGGACCAATCCTTCGCAACAGACGGTAAACACAGCCATACACCAAGTTCCAGCTCCAGCAACGATAAATCCAACTGACACATTACAGGCAACAATTAATACGTAGAATTCCTCAGGAATCACATCTGCAAACATCAGAGAACATACTATCAGCCCTAAAGCGTATGAGAATGTGGAGGCTTCCAACCATCGTAAAAAGATTCTGACTTCTTTTGCAACATCCATGATACCCTCTCTCGCCTGTGTCTTCTTATGATCCCAAGACTCAATCTGCAGTGCGTTGACCTTAGTGTTGTAGCTTACCTCGTCATCATGGCGCCGTGGAGAGTTGCACGGCTGGGTTAGGGGAGGTTGGGATGGGTCTCAGGTGTTTCTTGAATGCTGCTCATGGCTTGCGATTGTGGCTGCATCACATTGGTTTGCCTAAGTTCAACAACGCATCCCAGAAGCACTTACATGAAGAAGCAGCCCAAGCAGCCAAGAACGGAATGCAAACAAGATTCAACGGTATCACTTGACCGAAGTTTGCGTCAATCTGGTGCGTCAGACCTGCATCCAAGTAAAAGTCATTCCAAAGACAAGGTAGAAACCTAGCCAGATTATTTCCCGGAGAAAGCTGGTGGAAATGGACTCACTCCATATGTCTAACACCAAGATCCAACGGTCCACAGTAGGATCAACCCTGCTGTTACGAAGTTCTCCAAACAATGATTCCATCGTGGGCGCGAACTCTTTATTGTACTTGTTTCAGCTAGCTCTCCCAGCAGTCGTTGCAGAGACCATCGAGACCAGCAGTGGTAGTCCGCCCGGGCATCTTTTTGATAAAGTTCAAGGAACCGCCTCGAATAGCCGAGGACTATAACCAAGACGAGGACCGTCTAATCAAAAGAACAACAACCTCGCCTGAAAACGAGAAGTAGTGAGGCCGGTCTGGGTCAATGAATTTGGAAACTTATTTTGCGCATTTGACTGAGATGTGGCGATTGAATCTGAAGATAACCGATTCAGATATCGTCATGCATACTATCAAAAGGACTAGTAGTACGGTCACCACACATATTCGGAATATCCTCAGGCTCTTGTAACCGTCGAAATTCTCGCGCAGGAGAAAAATTGTACAAAGATGTACAACGCAAGAAAAGTACCCGAGTCTGGTCGCGATCTGAAACGAGTAAACCGAGAATTCTTCACTCAGGCTGTTGTTGAGCGTCATGAACATGGTGACGATTGTGAGTGCTACTCCAGTAATGAAGTTGTTGATCGCTCATACTAAGCATGAAGGATTCAAAGGCCCGGATTCTCTTGAGTCTGACGACCTTTTCGGGACTGCTGTGGTCGTTGGAGCACGAAAAGAACCAACGCAACTTTTGGCGAAAGGCCTCGTCAATTGAGTTGTTATCTGTTGATTCAGACAGCCAGCCAAAGACATACATCATTGTAATCGCAAAGAAATTAAAGATGATGGATATCGTGGACGAGACCACGACCTACTGAGCCTTAGCAAATCCGTCTCGTAGCGCCATCGTGGCTGACGTCAAGTCATCATACTCCTAGGCCCGTCACATCTGGATCTGCAACGTCTGCAAGAGCCTCGCACAGCCCCCCTAGGCTACGATATAGTCTGTGACGTTGGCTATGCCGCAGACTCAGAATGGTGTTCAGAGACACAGTCAAGGTTGGTTGGCATAATACCTCATGAACATGCATATGTTGTGAAGGGTACAAGGTTGGGGGATGTCGGGGGCTTTAACCTCTCTCGACCATCAACGCTCATCGCGTCGCCTACTAATTACAAATGAGGCAAACCGCAGTGGCCCCGCCAAGAGAAGGCAGCTCAACTTGACATTGAGACACAGAGGCTGGCGTGAAGACAAAACCTGGCAATGCTAGCACACTGCCACATCTTAATAGTTTTCGACTTGGAATTTAACATCCCATTGGTGATTTTGATGAATCTTATCAGTGTCGCTATTGGCTGAAGTGAGATTGTCAGCTCAGCCACCGGACGTAGCCCACTCTGCTACCTACTGAGAAATGTAAACATGATCTGTGAAGAAGTGACTCAAAGCCACAGAGGCTCTGGACATTGTTCCCAGTAGGTAATCTGGCCGACGCAGTACCGGATAGCCTGGGTACAGCCTCGTTAGTGCCTGTTTCTCTTTGAAGGCGTTTTCCCCAGGCTCATGAAAATTAACCGAATGCCCAACACCAATACCTTTTGCCCCCATCAATTGTCAGTGGCCTGATCTGTTAGGATCGGGTAAGCCATTCCTGGAAGCAGAACCACGCCGTGTCTTCGAGTCTTACACGGAACACACATACTCACCCAACAGTTCTGGGGACCGGGTAACTGGCCAGGTTCGCAGCACAGTTGGACCCGGGGGTGGTGCATTCTGCAGGGGTACGGCGGAGACGGGGAGTTGAACGCTGATGCGAACCAACGCAGCGGTTTGCCGCTTTAACCGGGGCGTTCTGAATTTGATTGGCAGAGCAAATGAGAGGTCGCATTTAATTGCGAGCGTTCTTCGGTTTGGGGGCATGGTGCATTGTGTTTAACAGTTCCAACAGCAGGCGGCTAAAGACTCGCGATCTCGTGGGTACCACCAATTTCCTTCTGATTCGTGGATTGGATGCTTGTTTGCGGACACCATATGCGCGGACGGAGCAGCGGTGCGCATTTGGCAATGAGGTGGGTACAGCCAAGGCGGGGAGAGGTCGACCCATCCTACAGGTCCAACAGCAGATCCGAGAAGTCCAACAGATAAAAGCAACTAAGTTTAGCCGCTAAGGAACAGCGCGCCTTCACTGAACACATTACAACCTCTCTCGACGAATTCTGCCGACTCGAAGCGCACAGAATGTCGGCTGGGGAAAGCACCTACGCCGAACCTGCACTGGATCACGAGGAGCACATTGCTGCCGGGGAAATCGATTCCGAGGAAACTGTAAGACGTCGTCCTCGCCCAGTCCAGCTCGCTGGAGTTCATGCCGTACATATCTGCTAATCTCGTTTGCTAAAAGCTTGAGGATGAAGGCCGTTTCCATAGAGAAGCTGTGAGATTGGTCTCCTCCACGCGACAACTGCATGGTGCACGTACTTATGATGTGTTCAGAGTGTGACCTCGTCTAGTGTCAGCCTCTCTGACTGTATCTATAACTACCGCCAAGAAAACGGGCGAACCTACCATGCATACAAAGACGGCAGTAGGTTGAACAGCCTGCCATTATATCCAACCACAGTTGCACCAGGTTAACGTAATATTTCTCAGAATACACTCTACCGAATGACGATATAGAGAACGACCGGTTGGGTGAGCTATTGTCCCACTATGCTCCGTCAAAGTCATGTTTTGTGAGACTAACCAATCAACGAAGACTTGCAACACAATTTGTTTCTAATCACTTTCGATGACCGGCTAGGGAACGCACCGCCCAACGATAAAGGTGCCCAAGTTGGACGCGTGCTCGATGTGGGCACCGGCACCGGCATCTGGGCATGTGAGTTTGGCGATGAGCACCCGGAGGCAGACGTGATAGGCTTCGACCTATCAGCAACATTCACAACATAGTAAGATCCATGTGTCTTTCTAAGCAGGAATTTCCTTCTAATCTACAATACAGTAACCCACCAAACGTTAGGTTTGAGGTCGACGACCTAGAGGAGCCCTGGACGTACGGAATGTTCGACTACATTCACAGCCGAATGATGAATGGCCGTATTGCGAATTGGGACGCATATGCGAGGAAGTGCTTTGAGTGAGGGAATACTCTCAACCTTCGCCGCAGAGAACGGCCACAGACTTGAAATCAGTAGCTGACGATCCGTACAGCAACCTAAACCCCGGTGGCTGGGTCGAGATTAACGAGATCGCCCTGATGCCGAAAACCGATGATGGCACGCTGAAAGAAGACGCTATGATTTTCAAAATAGCCAAGTTGGTTAGAGAGGCCACAATTTTGTTCGGCCGCGTGGCCACCGATATGGAAGACATCAAGCAGGTCCTGACCAGAGCGGGGTTTGTCGATGTCAAAGTTCTGAAGTTGAAGTGGCCCACGAATCCATGGCCGAGGGAGGACAGAAATAGGGAGATTGGCCTGTGGGCTCATGAGAATATCGTGACCGGCTGGGATGGACCATGCCTCGCTACGCTGACTAGAGCTCATGGATGGACAAAAGAGGAGGTAATGGATGCGACCACGCGCTGCCGGGAAGAATTTGAGGATAGAAGCATTCACGCTTACTACCCTGTGTAAGTCTTTTTTGTAAGCAACGGCACATTATTCGCTGTAAGCTGACCATGAATAGGTACTCGGCCTATGGCAGGAAACCTACAGAGGCCGAAGCGGCTGCCGGTGCATATGATGCGTACATGGGATGCTCAGATTACGAGGAGGAATATCCGTAATCCTAGTGGGCAGCCTTCCACTGAGAATATAATTGCACATTTTCTGAACAACATGTCTCCATTTTGTGTGTTTTGCGACCGCTCATATGGACTCTGTAAAATGACGGTGATAGTGCGAACAGTGATGGATTCCAGTTGACCATTAGATAGAGCGGAAATAAGACTACAAGCCCGGTAAAGTCGGCTTCGTTTTTGGAACAGGGATACTATGGAGTCTTTCCTTGAGAGGGAAGAGGGAACACCTGGTCCAGACTTGACTAAAAAAGCGCCAATGCATCGGCTCGTGGTCACGATTAACCCGCTGTATGTCTGATTGGGGGGCAAGTAAAAGGACATGATGCGAGGAGAAGGGTTCTGCTGTTTGGGGGTTTAGTGCTTCTTTTGCGACGCGAGAAGTACCAACAGCACTGTTCGAGTACCCCGGTCTGTCTTTCGCAGACCTATCATCGCTAAGTAAGTGGACTGTGACACGCGGAATTGGCGCTCATTGAGGAAGCCAAGCCCGGCAAGTGGGATTCACGGGCGTTCCGGGATAACGTGCCGTCAAAACCAGCGGAGGGGCAAGGCCAGCGAGATAAATATCTCCAACAAGCACCCCCCGGCCGCGGCGCCAGATCCCTCCATCATTGCAACAAGTCCGATTCAATCGCATCAGCTCGTGACAAACCACCCGCCTTCAGAATGTCTGCCGCCCAAGCGACAGAGACTGTGCCCGATCACGAAGTTGTGGTCGCGGCGGACGAGGCAGAAGAAGAGGTACTGACTTTGCTTTACTCTGCTTCCGAGGCTCGCTAACAATTCCATTCATTCAGCTTGTGGTTGATGACGCTGCATCCGACAGAGCCCCCGTAAGAGAACCGATTGCTGCTGTATGAATTTTCGTCACTCATTAGATGATAGAGTGCCGCGTCGTCTAGCACAAGTTTGAAAGGCTCTGTTCTCGATTATCGGATCGAGAATGGTAGAACCTATCATGCGTACAAAGATGGCAGTAAGTTGAAGCTCGATATTGGATAACATAACACGTCGTTGTCAGGGCTCTATGGCTAAAGCTGTCGGTAGGATACAACCTGCCCAATGACGAGACCGAAAATGACCGGTTAGGTGAGTATGTAGATGTCACGCAGCCCTCCACGGTCTAATATGTTTCAAGACCTCCAGCATAACCTTTTTCTGCTCACCTTTGACGACAAGCTGGGCAATGCTCCTCCTAACGACAAGGATGCCAAGGTTGGGAGAGTCTTGGACGTCGGAACCGGAACTGGTATCTGGTGCGTCGACTTCGGCGACGAACACCCTGAGGCCGAGATCCTTGGTGTCGATCTGTCAGCCACCTTCCCTGAGTTGTACGTCTTCTTCATCATGCTAATGGGAACATTGATCTCTAACCCAAGCGTGTGCACAGCACGCCACCCAACGTCAGGTTTGAGGTTGATGATATTGAGGAGCCTTGGACGTATTCTCGAAAATTCGATTACATCCACAGCAGGATGATGAATGGATGCATCAACGACTGGGAGGTTTATGCCAAGAAGTGCTATAAGTACGTAAAGCTTGCCCAACGTGCTTCTAATACTCTTGCTCTCGCGGCAACATCCGGAAAGGTCTGTTCATTCTAACTGTCGTCTGCAGCAACCTGAACCCTGGCGGATGGGTGGAGTTCATCGAGACCCCCCTTAAGCCCCAGAGCGATGACGGAACCCTTCCAGCAGATTCCCAGGTCCTAAAGATCGCAGAACTAATCCAGGAGGCCTCTGAGAAGGGCGGGCATCCGACTTTGCCAGTGGAAAATTTCAAAGACCTCCTGAGTAGGGCTGGGTTCGTCGACATCAAGGTGTTGAAGTATAAGTGGCCTACAAACACGTGGCCAAAGGACCAGCTTTACAAGGAAATCGGCGCGTGGAGCCACGAGAACATTGTTTCTGGATGGGATGCACTTAGTTTGGCTATTCTCACGCGAGCCCACGGTTGGACGAAGGAAGAGGTGATTGTCTCTAACGCCTTATGTCGCAAGGAGTTCAAGGACAAGAGCATCCATGCGTACTGGCCGATGTAAGTCTTGTCGTCCCGATCTCTATTGGAGTATGCTGACCGTGTTTAGGTACTCCATCTACGGCAGGAAGCCTGAGAAGGCAGACTCAGAGGATTCGGAATAAGTTCTCCGTCAGTAAGGTTGGCAGTGTCGCTTGTCATGCTGTAAAAAGTAGCCAATATCTCATAGGTTCAATGATTGATTGCACAATAGGAAGCTCCGTGATTGCGAAACCACCAAGAGTCATATGCTGAAGACTAGATATGCAGTCAATGAACCCTGGAGGGCCAAGACATCACTACTCATACCTGAGATGCCCGCAGCAACACTGCCCCCAGTGTGTAAGCGGCAGCCTCTGTCGATCGCAGTGCTCTACAGCCACCAAAGGAAGACCGACTCATCGCATTCAGGCGGTGCAATTGACTCACGTGATGGTTGCAACATCGCTCTCGCCTGAAAACGTTGTGGCTGAACGAATTCTTGTACCTCAATCTTGACCTACGTCGCGATCTTCGCTCCCTTGTCCATCTCTGAGGCCGTCTCATGGATCAACAACGGCTTCATGGGAAAGTTCAGTTGAACGCATGCGTCGCTCCACTCACTGTCCCTCCGACGTCAGACTTCATCGATCTGATTGATCATGTCACAGGGCATCTGTGGCGTCCATCCATAGAAATAAGCTTGAATTTAGGCGATGCTAGGCCAAGGCAAAAGATGGGGGAAAACGCCCAGCCAAGGCACATGCGAAAGCCCCGCAGCCAGCAGTGCGAGAGTGTCGCGAAGTATTTCCATCACGGGACTTCTCGTTCGTTTCATTGCCAGCAAAGCGGGATTTAAACACTTGCAGGTTACTCCCATCGTACCTACGCGACTACGCCCGACGGCAGCACGGCAGGGGGCGCGCCCAATGGTGCAGAGGCGAAGCGGTGTCTCGCCCCGTACGTCAAGCGAGATCGCCGCCGTGTGCACCACATTCCGCTCAGCGGTCCATGTCCCAAGACGCCGTCGGGCAACGACAGTGGGCGACTCGCACTGAAACTGCAGGTCTGCGCTCCGCGGCCCTTGTGCGGGATTTGCTCAGCCCAGCTTTGGGCGAGGCAGATCTCGTGTGGTGCCCGGAACTAGTGCGGCACAGCCGTCGCCCGGCCGGGGTGCAGACGGACGCCTGGCTGCGGGTCTTGGAAGTGAGCGCCGCCAAGTTTTACGGCGCTCCTTCGCCAAGATGCAGTTTTCGCCGTTGGAATTCTGGTTGATATGTAGATTACTTAAGGGCTCTCTTGATCCGCGGCCCTGTGTTACGACGGAGTCTATCCCTTGATCATTGGATTGAATAATAACGAGTCAACGATTTCGACAACGCTTTTGACGCCAAACACCATTTACTACTATTACCTGCACGCAAGAAGAGAAGGAAACGAAGAACACTATCAATATGGGCGGCACACTCAGTCCGGAGCAGATCATGTACATCGTACGGATTGTCGTCGTCGTACTAGCTCTGATCCCGATGGTGGTCCTTTTCGCAAAGCTCGTCCGCAAGCCAGGGTATCGCCATGACACGACACGCAGATGGGTTGACTACACCAAGGTTGGCTTTGGCCTCTGGATGCTGTAAGCTGCCTCCAACCACGCCCTTAGAAATATGCCAGGAGAAAATGTCTAACAAAACCAACTCAACAGATCGCACCTCCTCTACATCGCCGTCTGGTCCTGCCTCGCCAGCGCCGCATATGACAGGTACTTCGCGCTGCGACACTCCGTCGGCGTAGCCGTCAATGTGCTTGTCAACATGCAATTCTTCGTCGAAGTCGTGCTAAACCTCTCCATTTTCCTCGCCGTCTTCTACATGGCACACGCCCTGACACAGCTCCGGACCGAGGGCGATGAGGTCTCAAGCGCCTATCGCAAGGGCCGTGGCTTCGCCCTCGGCGGCTCGATTTTGGTCGTCCTGCTTTCGTTCGTTGCATTCTGTCTCTACCTCGACGACAGGTTCGGCAGATATTACAAGGAATACGAGTATCTGGTGGCGTCATGCTTGATGCTTACCTCTTACAGCATTTTGATAATCATGGCCATCGGGTCTGTTGTGTATGCTGCAAAGTCACGCAAGAAGGCGTTCGGTAGCGGATTGGAACAGGTACGTTGGGGCTTCCCGTCTCTCAGGGCGACAAGATCGCGGGTATCCTAATGCATTTACTACAGGCGGCCAAGATCGTAGTGACTGTTGCCTCCCTCTTTCTCGTTCGCGAGTGTTGGGGCCTGGTCAACATCTTTTTCGGAGGCGGGTCCTACTGGGGTTACTATATTGTGCTTTACGTCTTGGACATTGTCCTGACGACTTACCTGCCCCTCGTCATTCTGATTCTGCTCTACTCTGTGGCGACGAAGGAGTCTTACGCCATGTCAAAGATGCAGTACCAATCGAAAGCCATTGATTCCGACAAAGGCGTTTGAGAGGGTTGAGCAGTCGGTTGTCGGAGATACGGAACGAGACTATGACGTGACATGAAGTTAAGGGAGTTGTTACGTAGCAATGATTAGCAAGGAAGACTGATTTGGGCAACTATTCAGTTTCCAATGCATGGATGCATGCATGTATTGGATTAAGGGTTATCGATATGGCTAGATCCCGCATGAGAACGCTCCACAACGAGCGATGTCACACCACTTGCTTTCTCAGAACATGAGTAATAGACATCTATTATCTAGAATTGTAGATCTCGACCTCCGTCTTGAAACGCCCCTTGAGATTGGTCGGGTAAGAATGTTTGCAGAGCCGCCGGTTTCACCTGCTCTTTGCGGACTTGGCAGGTCATCTTAGTTCTCTTCTTCGGCAACGTACTCGTCAGGTGCAACGAAGTCCTCAGATACCCAAGTCTTGGCGATGTACCTAGCCACATGTCAGCAGCCCCTCGATTCCGTTTCCGCCCTTACCGAAACTCACTTGGTATGGCTTCCTCTAGCAGCAAGTTCTCCCTTCTTGTTGAAGAATTGAACGGTAGTGTAGGCGAGGGTCCTTCCCACTGCAAGTCGTCAACGATAGTTTCTGCGCGTTGAAAGCAGAGTGACCTACTCTTGTCGCAGATGGCAGTGCCGGTCATAATGTCACCAGGTGTTCCTCCGGGGTTCAAGTACGTGACTAGGTTTATCAGTGCCAGGGATTTTCTGAGAAATTATGCGACAAACCGTTGATATCAGTGGAGACGCCAGTCATGAAGCGTCCTTTTGAGGCGACAGCGAGGGAGCCGCCGAGGTCGACGAGACTGGCAAGGGTACCTCCATGGATGGTTTGCAGACGGTTCTAGATAATATGAGCAATGAAAAACCGATCAGCATGAACTTCATACCGTGTGCTCCTTCTGGATGGCCAGCTCGAACTCGACCTTACCGACAGAGGCGCCCGTTACTCTGAACTGCAGTGAAGTGAGTCTCACGTCAACAACACTACTGAGAGACTTTTTCATACGTTGTTACCAAGGAGTCTAAAGTCCCATCAGCTGCATGCACATTGACAAATACATCACGAGAATGCAAGGACGAGCATCTCGATACAACTCCAACTCACCTCGGCTCAAGCCCAGAGTCTTTGGAGAAGGAGTTGAGGACCTGGAGTGATGGTCAGTGCCGATCTCAGACCAATTGACTCAAAAAAGACTCACAGATCGCACGAAGCGAAGGGGCGGCAGCTTAGGCGGCATCTTGGAACTCAAAAGTCGATGAAGGGCTGTTGAGATGAGATTCACTCGTCCAGTTGAGTAAGAGTTCGGCGGTCTTCGGCAATTGGAGGCAGTCGCACCCGCCCGCAAGCTATCAATATGACGTGCCTTCCCGGCTTTCGTCCCTTCTCGCAGCCGACATGGATAAGACGCCGATAAGCAGCCGATAAGATAAGCGCATGCAGCACCAGGGGGGCCTGAGGCGGAAAGTTCCGCTAACTAGTAATCCCTGCTCAATGATTGAATGACGGACCTGATCGCCTGTCGCAAATAATCGAGAACTTGTCCAAACCCAACAGCACACGACCACGACCGAGTCCCACGACTCCAACGCCCCCAGCGCAGCGACAACCCCCCGAACGAGCCTCGCGCCTTCCTCTCCGCCCGATCATGAGATAACACAAGAAAATCTTGCCGACCTCCTCCTCCCGCCCCCAAACCACCGCGCGCAAACTCGCCCATCATGTCGGTCAGCTCGGGTCAATCACTCCAGCTGGCCGACTACCTGGAGAAGCTGCCAGGCACGACCTTCAGGAAGCTGTACCTCCAGCCCTCGACCGCCTTCGCCATCTTCAGAAGGATGATCCCCCCGCTGGGTGAGCCTCGCCGTCGTCGTCGCCGTCTCCGCGGCGCTCGCTGAGCATGGAACAAGCTAGCTAACCCAGGCATCCAAACCTCCCCAGCAAAAACCATCGTCATGGCCATCCTGTACATGCCCAAGCCAATGCTCCTCGAAGACCTCGATCTCTGGGTGAAGCCCGACTCGCGACGGTACAACGCCCTCACGCGTTACCCTTCCTCCCACTGCGCAGCCGCAAAATCTTTCTAACACAACTTCTTCCCTCCCACAGGCAAAAAGACCAAGCCATCTCGACCCTGCGCTCCCTCCACATCCTCCAAATCACCGTCCCGTCGAAAGAACGCCCGCAGGAGATGCAGCTCACCACAAACTTCAAATCCTCCCTGCGCCTCGCCCTCGAGGGCGGCGGCCACCACAACTCCTTCGGCGTCCCCTCCACCCTCCCCGTCCCGCCCGAGATCACCATCCCCTTCCTCGACCGCTACGCCCGCCGCAAGTGGGACGACATCCTCCACTACATCGTCGCCACCGTCAACCCCGGCAGCGCCGACCTGAGCGGGCCTAAGTCGTCCGTTAAGAACCTGCTCGTCGCAGGCCAGCTCGTCCGCCGCCAGCAGGGCGCCGTCTGCATCACCCAGGCCGGCTTCACCTTCCTCCTCCAGGAGGCAAACGCCCAGGTCTGGACCCTCCTCCTCCTCTGGCTCGACGCCACCGACCACGCCCAGGACTCCGCCGGCATGGAGTCCACCGACATGCTCTCCTTCCTCTTCCTCCTCGCCTCCCTCGAGCTCGGCCGCGCCTACGACACAAACGCCCTCACCGAGGAGCGCCGCAACATGCTTCCCTCCCTCATGGATTTCGGCCTAATCTACATCCCCTCCCACAAGCCGCAGCAGTACTTCCCCACCCGCCTCGCCACCACCCTCACAAGCAGCTCCAGCGCCCTCCGCAGCGCGGGCGCAGGCTTCTCCGCCGCCCTCGCAGCAGCATCCGGCCCCGGTCCCGGCGGCAGCGGGCCCCGCAACGGCGCCAACCCAGGCAGCGGCGGCTCCGAAGAAACCCGCAGTGGCAGCATCATCGTCGAGACAAACTACCGCGTCTACGCCTACGGCCAGACCCCGCTCCAGATCGCCGTGCTCTCCCTCTTCTGCAAGCTCAAGCTGCGCTTCGCGGACATGGTCTCGGGCCGCCTGACGCGCAACTCGATCCGCAACGCCGTCGAGCGCGGCATCACCGCCGACCAGATCATCTCCTACCTCGCGTCCCACGCGCACGAGCAGATGCACCGCTTCGCCGCCGTCCGGAGCAAGCCCGTGCTCCCGCCGACGGTCATTGACCAGATCCGCCTGTGGCAGCTCGAGACGGAGCGCATGACCACCACCAGCGGGTTCCTGTTCCGCGACTTTGACAGCCCCAGGGAGTACGAGGACATTGCGGGCTACGCGGCGGAGATTGGCGTGTTGACGTGGCGGAACGACAAGCTGGGCATGTTCTTTGCGAGCAAGCATGAGCAGATCAGGGATTACCTGAAGCTGCGGAAGAAGGCAGAGGATTAGGATAGACTGGACAGCGGGCGCCAAGGGAATTACACCACAGAAGAGGCGCCGAGTACACGCGGAAATACACACACTGAAATGCATTAGCAGGCGTTGGGGTTTGGGAGAGAGGAACCACGGACTGGTCGGTGTAGAGAAGTAAATGGGTATTGGTCCTAACAGCTGATTTTTCGTCTCTCATAGCCTCCACATATACAGATGCAGGGACTTTTTTGTGTCCGTTGTACAGGCTTCCGCGATAGCTCTCTCGCGAGAGTTGTGACAATGTGATGCTTTTCCCAGTTATCCCTCCAAGACAGCCCAAAACAAAAACGCCTGTCCATGTTGTCGCACTTTGATAATCCTTCATGTCAAACCACGTAAACCTCAAAGCATACTGACACGCTTGCCAGTGCGGTATTTTCCCTCGATACCCTGTTTCTCAGGGCGAGGGGCGCCCATACTGCGTCGTCCGCCGCCGAAAATTCTCGCCACGAATCCCTTGTCCATGCTCGCGCCGTGAGGCAGAAGTGCCACGCGGTTGTTGCGGCGCGCGTAAATCTCCTGCCAGGCATGCAGGCTCTTCTGCGCCTCGGGTGTGGCACAGAGCGAGTCGAGATGCAAGAAGACGCGCAGACAGCGGTTGTCCTCCTCGTCGAGAACCTTGGTCTCTCTGCTGACGGCTGTAGTACTGTAGCGGTCCAATGCGGTCGTCGTGCTGAGAGGGAGATTGCCGCGGCTTTGGTAAGCCGCTCGCTGGTCGCGGACAACAGTGGATCTTGAGGCGTGGGCGGAAACAAGGGTTCCAAGAGAGTGAGGCTGGAGATCCTCGTTGTGAAAACGATCGTGGAGAGACTGGAAGCGACCTGCCCAGTACTGGGATGATTGGGCAGTATTGATGATGAGAGGGTTGACCTCAGCGCTCATGGGCGTGGGGACTCGGGATGTGTCCGTAGTGCTAAGGGTGCTAGTTGAGGAGCCACTGACTTTGCGCGAGGAAACCGATCTGCTTGTAGAAGCCTTGCGGTCACTTGTGAAGCTCGTGAGTGAAGTCCTTGAAAGAGATGCTGTGAGGTTGGATAAAACGGTCATGGTCCGTGACTTTGGGATGCGTTTCTTCTCTACGCGGCTGGAAGGACGGGAGTTGAACTTGGATTGGATTCCCGAGCTTGGAGCAAGCGACGGGCTGCTTTCCGACGAAGAGGTGAATGTGACTTCTCCGGACTTTGACAAAGGCGGCTGATTCTCATCGTTTCGAGCAGCCGCTCCGGTGAGGGCGTTGACGTCAAAACTGGCGACAGTGGGATTGCTGGAGAGGGGTCCACCGTGTGAGAAGCCTGCCGAGATTCGTCTTGCATGGGAGGCGGCGGTGTGTCCAGTTTCTTTGCCTGTCGATGAGGGCTTGGGGAGGCGTCCGGGGTCTCCAAAGTGGCCATGCGAGGCACTGAAGGGAAGGCGGGCGGAGTCTGTGTTGGTGTGGGATATTTCTCCCAGAACGTGACGATCGTTGAGACCAGGAAGTGCTTCAGGCGAGAAACGGGGTTCGTTGAACTGCTCAGATCCATCTCGTCCTCCGAATCCCTGCTGCAATTTCTCCATGGTTCCATCCGGGCCCGGGGTGGGAGCTCTTCCTCGAGTTGATCGGGGCATTCGACTGCCACGGGGAGTCTTTTGGTGATTAGATGCAGGGCCTGGCCGATGAAACTGCCGAATGACACTGGTCTGTGGCTGTGGCTGTGAGGGTTCTGGCTGGGATTGGGTTGTGTCGTTGATGCTGTGGATGATGGTGATGGCGTCGGCTCGTTGGAGGTCAGCCCCGTCATTGCGACGGACTGGTCCAACGGGGCCAGAGATTGTCGGGCGGGCGAGGCCGCCTCCGGAGAGACGGGAGCCTCGGTTCCGCGTAGGAAGGAACGAAGAATTAGACAGACGGTCTCGCATTGTTCCAGGACGACGACGAAAACGGCGACAGAGAAAACGCCGGAAAGGAAGATGGCGTAGGGGAGGGCCCAGACAAAGACGACGGAAAGGGAAATGGTCCAAGTGGCCAGCGCGCCTTCCGCAGCAGTGCTGCAGATCTGGCCGACGTGGAGAAAGGTAGAAGCAAAAATAGAAAAACAAACAGCGACTGTCCTGGCAAGATATAAGCAGAGGTGGAGGTTGGTTTGGAAGATGCAGAGACTGTGGGCGATGAGGGTGTAGAGGGCTCGCGTAGTGTGGAAGAGCAGAAGCAAGCCGAGGGACCCGGGTTTCGCGGGGGGCATTGTCAAAGTGAAAGAAAGTCGCGAGAAGGAAAAAATCAAAAAAGAAAAAGGCCCCTTCAGACGGGCCGCAGAGTGCTCGATTGGGCGAACCGACAAGACGCGCGGTGGGCTGGGTGAATTGGGCCGTGGGATCTGTGAAGTTCAGCTTCAGATGAAAAAAGGTGCTCTGATGTTTCGATGTCGTTGGATGACTTGGCTGCGTCGTAAGGTAAACGCCGAAGGCACGGGCGATGACGATTAACCTGCTCTTTGGTCGCAGCTTCTGCCACTGCAGGAAGGAAGGAAGGTACGGATGATAATGTGCGGAAGGTGCTCATCTGCATCCCACGGCAGGAACTCTCGTGATGGTCGACAACAACAACAACAACAACAACAACAACAGAAGCAACGCGCCCAACTGCTTTCCCCCCTGTTTTCTCCATCTCAATGTCAGAAGCTGCAATCCATCCAAACTGCACTAAAGTGACAGTACGGCTGTAGTACTCCTTTCTCTGCTGTCGTCTCTGTTGCCTCTGCCGTCGTCTATTATCATCCTCCATCGTCATTATCCATCGTTATCGTCTGTCATCGTTGTCCTTCGTCGTCGTCTATCGTCGTTGTATA